ACGTAGTTAATAAGTATTGAGATTTTATCGTGCGACTTGTTAGTTGTGAGTAAGTGCAGTGTTATTTTCATTTGATTTAGATATTTCATTCCATTTTCAGTACTGATTAGTGCTTAGTCAAGGGTTAAAATTAAAGGACATTGAAGGTTTTACCAAAGAGCCTGTATCATTTAAAAAGAGATACCAATCATGTTACTTGTTAAAGAATAATGACTAGGAAATTCCTTAATTTTAAATAAAGAGTTATGATGGGCAAACAACAATTAATGAAGTGGTTTGGGACGACAATGATTCCTATGCAAGATGCAAGTAATACGTAAATCAAAGACGTAGTTAATAAGTATTGAGATTTTATCGTGCGACTTGTTAGTTGCGAGTAAGTGCAGTGTCATTTTCATTTGTTTTAGATATTTCATTCCATTTTCAGTAGTGATTAGTGCTTAGTCAAGGGTTAAAATTAATTTCATTATATTTGGCATTATTTCTAAATGTATTATCTGTGGCGCCACCTCTACAACTTGGGTTGCTAATATTGAGATATTGACAATTTAGTAGAGTTTGTTACGTAACGTGTCCGCTAATAAAGATCTTAATTAAGAAATTATGGGCACATGGTACTTGTCAACTTATGTCTCAGGGTGATGGGCGCAGTGGCAGTGATCCTAAGGCTCAACTCACAGTTTATCGCCTATAGTATATTCATCTCTATTTTCTCATTATTAAGGTACAAATTTGTGTTATGCAAATATGGAAACGGGTGTCGCCGCATGGATGCGATCGAGCGGCTTCGGCGCGTCACTTGAGCGCAGTGAGGCGTCCGACGCCGACCACACTGTGATCCGGGCGCACTAAAGCGAGCGTCGACGCGCGATGACGCGCGTCGCCAAGCGTTGTAATTGAAAGACAGGACGCGACGCGACGCTTCGACTCTGCGCGATTTAAAGCTCTAAGTGGCACTGCAACTGTTATGGATAATATAAGGCGTGTCGCTTACCACCAGGTGCACGACTTGTTCACCTCGTCACTCGTCACTGGTATATTAAGAAAAAAAATTAAGCGCGTTTCAAATATTCGATCAAAACGCCATTTTGGAAAGTATTATGTATATCAAAATAGTGAACAACATCTCAAAATTCTTTTATAAAAATATTACTTAGGTATTTCTGTTTATTATTATGAACTTCGCCGTATTCTCAGTACCTTGATTTTTTAATTAAATGAAAATGAATGAATTGAAGTTTACACATTAGAGATGAAATAACACGTTAGTTAAAAAGGATACTTATGTACAGTAGGATACTTATATGCCTAGGCACTAAGCGTTAGTTTTTTCTTGCTACTCGTATTACTTATTTAGAAGTGCTATGTATTTCTATTGTAACTTTGAAGTCTTAACAATCTGCATTACATATGTAGTTATAGTAGTAATACATTTTTATTTGCACCCGGCTTCGACTCATTTGAGACAAATCTTTGAGGTTTTAAGTTTCATCTCAGCTGCATAGACTTACTGTCAGATTTTTTCTTAGATGTTTTCTTAATTTCTTGTTGCGTTTGTGGCTCTACTTGATCTTGTGGCTCCGCATTGGGTTGAGCTTCCCCGGATTCTATTTCTGTAAATCGACAGAGAACAAGTAATTGTTACGTATGTACAAAAGCATATTTTATTTTAAGTTTTGGGCGTCTTCACTGGGAACATTCGTGTATTTTGTGTAGTTGCGGTGAATTGAGCAAACATTTCTAAGCGTTCTATCATTTGTTCGACAAAACGTTAGTTTTTGGTTCGCCTAAAATAGCCTAAGCTAAATAACCTTTTAATGTCGTATGTATTGTTATGATGCCCGGATGATTGTTCGTACTCGGAATATTATTATTATCTACAATCAATGCACTATCTACTTAGCTTAGAACAGTAACGCATGTTCATACAATACGACTATTGTTACGTTTGTCAAAACATAATGCTGTACTTTTAGTTTATTGATGTAATCAGTTTTGTTTATTGTTTCTATTACTCACCCGCCATTTTACTTGCGTTACTAAAATGTATTTATATTAGGTGCTGTTTGCGTTTACTTTACAATCATAATAATGCACTTGCATGTCGTATTATTATTTGGAAATATCTTTAACTTTTGGTTGACTTGACTTTTGGGTTTTGTAGGGGTTTAAAATTTTTGACATTTAGTTGAAGTATGATAAAGTTATCAGAGTCTCGGTTTTGTTTTTTGTTATTTGTCATCTGCCTGGCCTCTTTTGAAATAAACTCTTTTTTGACAATCGAATACTTTTGGAATTTATGCAGTTATCCTAAAATCTAGACATAGGTAATTATGTTATTATCATCTTACGTGACGTACCTGTATTGTAGCGATACATTTTCGATTCTCTACCGACTAAAAATGTAGGCATAACTGGTAACATTGTTTGTCTAATAAGACTCTATATTACTCAGGATTCCAAATTTGATAAAAATGATCAAAATTCGAGAAGTACTTGACTTCTTTAAATATATTGAAATTTAATATTAGTGTACGTAAATAATAAAATAACCAATGATAATACTTGTAAAACAACATATAATTGTAAAGTCGTAAATAGTCGCTACTCTGGATGCATCTTAGAACATTTCATTTCGCATAAGATGTAGATACAATGTGTATATTTTTATTTCGGACGTAATTTTTTGTGTTAACCTTTATTAAAAATACAGGTATTTTCCAGTATAATATTAGCTTATAGTGGTTTTCAAAAGGCTTTTCTGATTTTATAAACTACCTACTTACCCATAAGGTAGTAGGTAATGAATGAATAACAATAGTAAATAATGAAACTATACTGTAGGTGTATTTGTAAGATTGTCATTATCATTATATAAGTTTTAATGAATTTCAATCGAAGTCATCCACAGATTTAAATTTTTTATCAATGAATGTTTAATGGTAAAATTCACTAGTCAGTAATCATTTATATAATTGATCTTGTATGTTGAGAGAAAATTAAATAATAATAATTATTATATACTACGTCAATTGAAATATGGTATAAATTTCAATGCTCTTTGAGCGACCTCGGAGTATTGCAGCGTATTTTACACCCAATAGGATAGTTCGGTGGGAGGCGCCGGTATGCGACGAAATCCAGCGGTTATGCCCCGGAGTCCGTCTGAGTGCCTCGTGGAAGCGGTTTCTTCTTCTTCTGGTATTGGTGTCATGCACTATAATGCTTGCCATGGTGATAAAAGGATTTGCGGATGGTACGCGTGCAGGGAGGCTCCCATCGTGCATTCCGGGTAGAAGCGCTACGGTACGCTCTCGGATGATCGTGGTATTTTAATATATGTTTCTCATCAATGTGTGCTGGCATCGTAGGTTTGGTTAATCGTCGGAAGCAGAGATAGGTAAGCGACCGGATTTTAATCACGCGCTTTCTTAACGACGCAATAAATCGGGTTAAAACCCATTAACGCCCAAAATCGAGGGAAAATGAGTTCAATATTATGAATGTCTTCTTTCTTAACGAAATTATGTATATTTTTACGGGCATACAAAATATTTGAGTAAATGTACTGTGATGCCACAGTCATGATACCAGTCTCCTTAAACTTTTCTCTGAGAGAAATCCGAGAACCTAAACGGTATATAGAACGAATCGCCTGTTTTGCAACACAAACATGGTTTGCATATCTGCCACTTTACCCCACATGAGAATCCCGTAGGACATTATACTATGGAAGTAACTAAACTAGTCTAGCAGTGGCAACATCGGTAAGTTCACGTATTCTACGGACTGAGTATGCAGTAGAGCGTAATCTGCTGGCCAAGAAAGATATAAATATGTGGAAACCATTGGAGTTTACTGTCTAAGGTCACTCCCAAAAAGACAGCTTTATTAACAAGGTCTAACTTTTCTCCATTTATTTCTATGATTGGGCTAGTCGATTTTATATCTCTTCTATTATTTTAGTCTTCTTGACATTGAGCAATAAATTGTTAATGTTAAACCAATAAATTACCTTTGAAAGGGTATCGTTAATATTGTCATAGTTAACGTCATGTCTGTTTGTTTTAAAAATCAAGGATGTCTCGTCACCAAATAATACTATTTCGCAAAGGTCCTTAACAAAAAATGGTAGATAATTAATATAAATGAGAAATAAGAAAGGTCCAAGCATTGAGCCCAGCGGAATACCCATTTTTACCGGAGAACCCAAAGAAGTCACTCCATTTATGTCTACTTTTTGAATTCTACCATTAAGATATCACGAGTCAAGTTCTAACGCCTTACCACTTACTCCGTAATATTCCAGCTTCCTAACAAGAGTAATATGATCCACGCAATCAAATGCCTTTGAGAGGTCACCGAAAACCCCAATAGCGTTCAAGGCGTAGTGGACCTTTCCCAAGTATCAAAGATATGTGTTCACTATGAAAAATATGATTCCTTCCGAAATACGACAGTAGTTGAGTCAACATAACCTTTTCGAATATTTTACTTAAAGCTGGTAGAATTGACTTGTATCGCCTCTCACTTGAGACTGGTGTAGTTCCCAGGTTGTGGAAGCTTGCAAACGTGCAACCTGTGCCCAAAAAGGGAAACAGAGCTGACCCTGTCAACTATAGACTTATCTCAGTCACTTCTATACTCTGCAAGACTATGGAACGTGTACTCAATAACCGTCTCCTGTTATACCTTGAAAACAATGACCTCCTCAGTGATCGCCAATATGAATTCCGACGAGAGCGATCTATCGGGGATCTTCTAGTGTATGCCTATCACATATGGAGCGAGGCTATAGAAAAGCAAGGCGAAGCACTTGCAGTGTCTTTGGACATTTCTAAAGCCTTTGACACGGTCTGCCACGAAAGCCTTTTAAGCAAGCTTATGGAAGCTTGCAGTGGGAAGCCCACAACATGGGTTGTGGGCTTCCCACTGACCTTTGTAATTGGATCTCGGATTTCTTGAGTGAATGTTCCATTCGAGTGGTCTTAGAAGGGTACTCTTCCGAACATATGGCGATAGATCGGAGTTCCTCAGGGTTCCGTACTGTCCGCAACTCTCTTTATGCTGCATATCAATGATATGTTATTTCCAGGTACCTTTGCGTGTGCTGATGACAGCACAGTTCTAGATAGATATTTGACCAATGCAAGGGTCAGTGGAGAGGAAATCCAGTATTGTCGAGAGTTTATGGTTAACCATTTAGATTTGACGCTCAAGGCAGTCTCTGATTGGGGCGATGCCAATCTTAGCAAATTTAACGCTACCAAAACGCGTGTCTATTCTCTACTAAACGGAGCCGCTTTGAGCTGACTCCGACTTTTCGTGATAAATATCCATACCGAAAGCTGACCGACTTCAGCTACTTGGAATGAACCTATCGTCCAATCAGAACTTCGGCAGATACATTGAATATATGGCCAAAAATGCAGCCAGGAAGCTTGGCATCTTTCCAGGGTGAGGCGTTACTTCACACCGGGACAGTTGCTTCAGCTGTATCAAGCACAAGTCCGGTCTTGTATAGAGTACTGCTGCCACCTTTGGGATGGCTCTGCTACATACCAACTGGCCACCTTGGATTCAATTGACAAGCGTGTCAAGAGGCTTATAGGTGATTCGGGATTAGTAGAGGCGAAGCTGCAAAGCCTTGAACACCGCCGTAAAGTTGCCTGCTTATCGGTATTTTACAGGATATATCACGGAGAGTGTGCGATGGAATTACACGGTTTAATTCCGCCTTCCCCTTTCCATCATCGGGGGACTAGGCGTAGGTTTGGCTTCCACCCCTATGTTGTGGATATTCCAAAGATTCGCAAGAAGCGTTACGCTTCCACATTTATATGGCGAACGGTTAAGGAGTGGAATTCCCTGCCTTCAGACTTGTTCTCTGAACGTCATAACTTGGACCTTTTCAAGGCGAGAGTGAATAGGCATTATTCTGCTGTGCATACTCCATCGTTGACCTCTTCCTCACTTTCCGTCAGGTGAGATGGAGGTCACATGCACACTTACATTATAATAAAATAAAATTAAGTGGGCCTATAGTTACTAGGATCAACTTCCTGCCGCTTTTCAATAAAGGAACAACCTTACTGTATTTCACCAAATCGGGAAAAATACCTTCGTCAACACAGCTATTGAATGCATCAGCTAAATGTGGGGAAATTAGATAGATTACCGAGTCTATAACTTTAGTCGATAGGCCCCAGAGATTTTCAGTTTTTTTAACTTGTATACATTTGAAAGCTTTAATGATGTCTTTTGAATTAAGATGATGAAAATTAAATACACTGCCACAAACTTTAAAATTTTTCTTTAGTAGATCAATAGCAAGGGATGGAGAGGGATTTAATGATTTTGTAGTGTTCACGGCGATTTCAGAAAATAATGCATTCAAAAGTTTGGGCTACCTCATCTTTTGATTTAATAAATTTGCCGTCTTATTTTCCACGTGGTTAATTGCTTCGTAATCTTTCAACCAGTGTCATGTTACACAAAACACGTCAACGGAAATATCGTTTAAAAAAGACTTATATTTCTAATATTTTGCCAGAAAAGCCTTGAATGTTTTGATGAACTACTTGAAAACGATTAGACTTTTCTGTTGACATGTTTTCTAGTTTAAATGTTGATTAGTAATAAGTGTATTGTTGCTACTTAGAGTACGAGCGTTGTCGTGGGACTGAGTTATATCTTCTATAACAGCGTTCTTAATAAGTATTAAAAGCTAGTAAACTAGCAATATGTCTCAGATACCTTAGGGGTAAATGTAAACTATCCTCAAAAACTTTGAAATTCCTTACGAACTTATTGATGTCAAAACATAATATAACGTCACTATGACGGCATGTTAAATTGTAAAAATGTAAATTTATATTATATACATACTCCTTATGAGTAGTGCCTAGATTGGACCAGTACGGGAATGCACTTAGCAGGAATTTACACACACTTCTCATGTATTCTCGTTTCCACCCTCTAAGATTCTCAAGAACACGTCAATGCTACTATTTATTTATTTATATAAATTTGAATCGATTATCATAAAAATCTAATTGTAATGAGAATCCTTAATAGTAAGAATCTAAAGGATTGCAAGGTGGGTATTATGTGGAGTTGCCTGTTTTTCGTCTAAAAAAAAGTTTTTACAATGAAATTTGTGGT